GGTGTCTATAAAAAAATTGTTATTGGAGCACCAAAAAAGAAAAAAGAAAGCTCTTCTAGGAAAAAATTCTGGAGAAGACTACAAAATACGTGATGAAAAAGAAAGGAAGCTAATATTAAATAAATCACTTCATTTCTATTCACCTACCTCAAAAATGAAGCCACAGTATTAAAATTGACTGTTGAATTAAGTCCTTTAAAGGAAGAGTGCTTTTTTTTCTTCTAATATCAATTATATCTCTTTATATGACTTTGAGGACTATGTATTAGATCATTTACATTTCCATAGTACTTAACATACTGAGAAATTCTTTCAATAATCTATTTTGTAATTAGAAAATTGCTTTTGAGCTTCTTCTTTTGAAGGTTGCACTCCAGTTTGGAAGTTCTGGATAGAATCGTTGTGAAAACAAATATTTATCTGTTTAAAAAGCCAAAAGACCTTGTTGTTTTCTGTGCAAACACCAACTAAGAAAATCAATATTTTCTTTTGGGAGGGAATGGTTTGGCTGCTTAAGCATCATCCAAATGCTTTCTAACAACACTATAGCATTTAATTTTAAAAAAACAAAAATTCTGAAGAGACAAAGGGTGAAACTAGTGAGTGATGGGCTTCGAGAGCGTTGCTGCTTTTAAAAACAGTGACCCAATAACGGCATTAGTTACAGACATTCAGAGTTTCTAAACACTTGTTCCTATTTTATAGAATGATTGATTGGCTTTGCTGCTTAGTTATGATAGAATACCCTAAATACTAGGCCATTTGTTTCTGTACCAACGTCTGGTTGCTTACTGGTCTTAAAGGAAAGAGTTAAATATTGAAATCTTTTCAGAATAATCTAAGAAATAATTGCTCTCTTGTTACAGTTAGTCATTTCCATCAAATGTCATTTTTGATATTGATTATGAGCAAATCAAGTCACCATGATGTTTTTACATAAAAATTAGTAACATTATTGTCTTTATTTCCTAAGTAGAAAGCATCCTTTTATAATCTTCAATGGAAATATTCATTTAAATTTCAAATATTCTGCTATTATATGAAATAAAATTAAGCAATTTCAATATGTACATGTGAATATATTCTTGTTCATTCATTTATGTTAATTTCTTTGTGTTATTTATGTATTAACGTCTCTGAGGACTTGAGGCAGCTTGCAATAACACATTTAAAAAAAATAGAAAAAAAAACAAATAAAGAAAATAATCCAGTTTATGTTAAACCTAGAGAGAATAGAAGTTCAAGAAGAAGGGAAAGTTAGCACACATATGTTCAGTCCATTCTGAGACTCTTATTTATATAAATTTCTCATAAAATCTACAGGCGGTAAATAAATGACGCTACAGGGAAAATGTAAGCATTATCAAAAACATTGGAGCTATTGGAATTTTTTATTAAAGAGAAACAGACTCATTATTAAATAGCTCAGTTAAGCTTTGATTATGATACTAAATTAATACCAATTTACATTTAATTAATTAATTATTCAATCTAAGAAGTACAAGTACGTGGTGATAAATATTTGCATTTCAAAAGTCATAACCAATGAAAGAACTGTTATTTATATCTATTTAATGTACTAATTGGATGATAGTGAGAAAACCAGTGTTGTAGCAGCTGCATATGCAATTGAATTTAATGAAATCATAATTATAAAGAAAAAACTGATAACGAAGTAAACAGAGTGAAATGGTGCTAAAAGGAAAATAGCACAAACTGATTTGTGTTTCTTTGAAACATTCCAGGTGTTGTCAAAGTGGATTATGGAGATGTGTCAGTCAGAAAAACACTAAGAGAAAATCTGAAGTGTAAACCCTTTTCTTGGTACCTAGAAAACATCTATCCGGACTCCCAGATCCCAAGACGTTATTACTCACTTGGTGAGGTATGAATTATTTATTTTGGTTAAGTTATAAATATATTTTGCAAATGGAGCAATTTCTAAGGAGCTCGATATTTTTCATGTTATGAATAAAATGCTGTAAGGATTTTTTTAATAGATCTATTTTAAATGACTTCTCATATTTCAAGGACCAGAAAGGTCTTCATCATAGGGAATTGTAAAAGTGAGGAAAAAGTTTAAGATTGAACAAACAACATTTTCTTGTTTTTTTCCAACAGTTCTAAAGCTTGGTCATATAAACTTTACACTCTTAAAATTTATTATGAATGCCAAGAT